AAAAATATATTAAATTTTAATAAATCATTTGTCTGAATAGTAATAATTAAATATGTTTACTATATACAAAAATATGTTTATTTGATACATGGATCATTGATTTAACTGATTATTTAATTTATTTCATTTTGTTATTGAATAAATATTTACTATATAAGTAAATGTTTACTTGACTCTATTCAAATAAATGGTTATTAAAATTTGATACATTTTTTTCTGTGTCCCAATGTAAAATAACTTTAATCTGGTTGAACTATATAGACATATGTAATAAAAACAGATTATGCATTCCTATAAAATTATCACTACTGGTATAGAAAGAGTGAGGTAGCTTAAATATTTCTTTCTCTCTCTCTCTCTCTCTCTCTCTCTCTCTCTCTCTCTCTCTCTCTCTTTCAAATATCAAATTAAAAAGAGATGCTAATATATGATTGAATTCTTTCTAACGGAGCATAGATAAAGAGTTAAGATCAGGGAACACACAATTTATGGGTTCAATTCTTACTCTTAACTTTTTCTAATTATAAAAATTAGAAAAAGATAAAAGTTGAGATTAGAGTTAATCTATCATAGAAATAGACATATTAGAGCGATACTGTCCAAGGTTTGTAATTGTGGGTATCAGCTTGACGTATACATATTGACATTCATGCCTTCCCTATTCTTAGGCTGCGTTTCGGGCAGTGCGCTATCAACGCCATTTGTGTATAGTACTATCCTTGTCTCACGTCTAACGGACGATGAAGATAGAATGACACAAGTAGCGCTAATAGCGCCTCCCCGAATTCAACCTTAATGGAGATAAAAAATAGCAATAAGCGCATATGTCAAGTCATTGACTGCGATCAGAAAAAAAAATAGCTTTGCAATAACTGTTAAGTTTTTTATATGATTGATTTTAGTTATTCATTAGATCTATTATAAATGTATAATATAAACCATACAATCATATTAAAGAGTCTTATAATAGTTGGTAAAATTGCTCTTTCTGCTGAACACAAGACGTAGAATTACGAATATCTTGGCACAGCATCGCATTGCTCGTGTCATACTATACGTTCACGATTGAAATTCAAATGATCTGACTAACCGAATTCCAATCTCCAATTCGCAATTTTTAATTCAAAAATTAAAAATTGCGAAATGGAGATTGTGTGACTAGTTAGATAATTTGAATTTCAATCTGTTTGATTGTTGTGACTGATTGAGTTCTAGTTTCCAATTCACAATCCTCAATTTCCAACGCGTAATATAACAAGGGCTAAATGCCTAATTAAGATTAGAATTTAGCCAATCAGAAAAAAACAAATTAAAATAAAAAATATTAAAATTGTTTAATTAGTCGAATAATTAATCTCCAATTCGCAACCCTTAACTTCCAATGAGTAGTCTGACAAGAGCTTTAGAGAACGCCGCTCTATCCTCTTTCTCGTAACGCTTCACCCTCTCCCTTTGTTGTCCCTTTAACGCTCGATATAACAAACGCCAAGTGCGAGCGAGGCGCGGGAATGAATGAAGGGGAACGGGTCCGATGATGTTCGGGAGCAACGTAGTTACACGAAGAGAGGTGACTCAATTCCCGAGAGATAAAAATTCGTGGACGCGTTCGGCAATGCGATTACGTAATACGATAAAAACAATGAAAAAAAAAACAAACAAGAGGAACGCCAAACGAGATGCCGATGGAGATACCGGGTGAAATCCACGACATCTCCGTTCGCGTCGTCATTAGTACTCCGAGAATGGACTTTACGCTGCGACTCCGTTTAAGGTGACGATAACGAGAAGGCGATAAACAGTCGGCCGAAGTAAGGAGGCGAGGAGCACTTACGAAAGACGGAGCGAATATTATTTAATTTTTCTTTTCTTTAGGTCTGTTTTTTGTTAACTGAATGTAAACTTTTGGAATTTAAAGTAAAATAAGAATGTATTTTTGATAACTGGCTAAAACAAGAAAGAAAGTTTTAGTACAGAAATAAAAAAAACAGACCCTTTGTTTATCTCCTTCTCTCTTTCTCTCTCTCTCTCTCTCTCTCTTCCCTCCCTCTCGCCCTCCCCTTGAATATTTTCCAGCAAAAGACACAGATGATAGTATAACACACAGTAAATTAAAGATATATAATGTTCGTTCAGTTCACCTCTTTTTTTTCACATTAGAGTGAAAAAATAGAAAAGAAATAAACTGTGTAGATAATTTAGCAAAAAAAGAAGCAGACTTAGAATCTTGCCATGAGCAATTTTGTCGAAAAAGAAAGAAAGATATACATAATTTTTCCCTAAATATATTATCTCACTTTAACTTATATTTTCTATATAATTTTAATTAAGATTATAAAATAGAACAGTACAAGTTGAGTGAAATAGTAAATACGTTCCAATAGTAAGGACGTTCCAAAATTCGTGACTTAAAATATTATAGCGATAGAGTCCACAAAAAGTTAAATAAAAAAATTACTTGTAATGTTTTATTTATTTTAAGTAGTAATTGTTTAGATAATAAAGCTGACTTTTTTATTTCTTCTTTCGATAAACTTCAGCTCATTGTTTTAATGTTCTTACCTTTTTACTCTTTTGTTTATCTAATAAGTAAATTACCAATTTATCTGAAACAGTACCTGCCCTAAAAGTTTAAATATGGCTAATTACACAAACTATGTTTAAATGGCTACATATATCCATACATTATACATACGGTAGTATTAATGAGCGCAGTTCAGCGTATTCACTAATACTCACAAGTCACTATCTAAATATAAATATTTATATTTAAATCCTTATATCTCAGAGAAACAATTATTTAATATAAAATATAATAAATATATATAAATAAAAATTTACAAATAACTTCTTTTACTTCATTTTTCGAAAACTTTTTTGTTATAGTATTCCAAGTCGCAAATTTTAGGACACCCTGTATAATAAAGAATAAAAATTATGTATACTTTTCGCTTCGTAAGACTGGTAAAATCGCTCGTAACAACTCTGATATGATTATCTGTAATGGATCATTACATCCTTGTTGTTTGCCAATATTAAACAAAGATTAAATAATCACTGTGTTACATTGTTTCTTGCTGGAAAGCAACATCTCTCTCCCTCTCTCTCTCTCTCTCTCGTACGTGATTTTTCAGCCAAACGACAGATACGTGATATGAGAAAGGAAATGGCTCACTTGCCCTTAACCCTTTAATTCTTTAACCCTTGCTCGGGCCAACTTGAGTGTGCGAGAGAATAAGCGAGGAGAGAAAAGATAATACTAAGGATCACACCTCACGTCGAGTAAGACACGCAAATAATAGCGAAACTTCAACGGGGGAACCGGCGACAGGGTGTCGTGTCACAAGGGTCACAAGGTTCATCGAAGAGAAGCCTTCTGTGGTCTTGTCCTTCAGCGGACTAGCCGCCACTAACCCACTAACACACACTAGAGGATAATCCACGACGCGTGTGACGTATCGAGGTGATGTTTACATGTACGCGAACCGCACGCGTTGTTACGACGACGTGTCGTACCGCGGGATTGCAGATGAACACGCGGGAACGCGAGAGATTCTCGAGTAAATTCTCGAGACACGTGGATTTGGCCTGCGGAGTGCCGCGAGTATGCCGCGAACCGGCGACCGCCGTCTGTCCAATTTCGAGTCTCGCGGGCATCGATCGTCGTATCCCGCCGTGCTACTACTGAAACGTGCGTCGTGCTCTCACTCCGCTGCTCCGCTTCTGCTTCACTCAGCATCGCGTCGGGTCGGGCCGATTAAGAGTATTCTCGCGTCACCTATATGAGAGACGGCGAATTCCACGACAACCGAACGTGCGCTCGGAAGATACGCGAGTCAATACCGACACATGGCTATTTCTAGTAAGTTTACATATATGTCATTGTTTATATTTAGTATGTATATATATATATATATATATACAATATATTAATATATTGTATTAGTATTATCATAATTATATATACATTGATTGGAACAAAAGTACATACACTGCTTCATTTATGTGTCCTCGTAGTTTTCTACGCGTAAAACTTACCAAACTCATAGACACTTGAAAGCGTAGTAACCTTTCGAAAGTAGAAGTTTTAAGCTTTAAAGCTCTTTTCTTTTAATTTAAATTTCGTTCATTTTTAACGAAGCTGTTCATTTTTACAGCTGTTTGAATTTTAAAGTTTATATGAATTTTTATTCCAATCAAATATGTACACAATTTTTATACATATATTATTTAGATATAATATACGTGTAAGAATTATATTTGTAATAATATTAATATATCATATTATATGTTAATATATATATAAAATATACATCATAAATATTTAAATATGTCTACGATCGAGATATTTAAATAAGCGTAAGATTTCAGTAAATCGTTAAGATTATAATATAAGGAGCAATAGAAAAATATTAGAAACAGGAACAAATATTAAATGTTGAGAAATAAAAAATTTAGAGATTAGAGATTAACGTAACTCACAATGGACACAAATAAAATGTAAGGAATATAAATATACATATATGTCTTATACGTTACGTTTAATCATTATTCCTAATTTTTTTATTTCTAATATTTATATATATATATATAATATTTATTCTTGTTTCTAATTTTTTTTCAACTATTATGCTAAACATTTAGATTGTTGTGTGTAAACACAAAACACTTATCGATAATTCATAATAAATTACTGACGTGACACGTCGGCTTTGCGAATAGGTGACGGCATCTATCTTGAATAAGCGTTCACGTGAAAAGAAGAGTCAATTCACACTCGGCTCCCTCACAAACATCGAGAATGTCCGAGCAGAAATTAATATTCCTCGTGCATCCTTGATACGCGCTAACAGCTGAAGAAATAATTCAATAACGCTTCACGAACCCTCTCGTTCTCCGAATAAAAATAGATCGCTTATCTGCCGACGCATTATCTCGTTATGCCTTTTCCTAACAATGAGATTAAACAAATCTTAACATACAATTTAATTACAGTTACTTACTCTGCGACGCTACTTGTGATTGGTGCTGCACCGCCGCTCGCTGAAACAGAAAATGGGAAAACGAAAGTCAGTCGGCATTCGTCACATTTTACACGATAGGAATTTTTAATTCACCGCCTGGCAATGGTCGCAAACGTCTCACATTTTCCATACCTGAAGTCCATTGGCTACGCAAATACATTCCTGTTCGTTGAAATTGCAGCGCGGAGAAATCTCGGCGACATGCAAATATCGCGGAACTTTACTACATAAATTTTATTTTAAATTTATACTTTCTACAATTAACCGTGAAGTGAGAACCTTCCCTGAGTTTCACAAGCACACTTGAACGCTAGTCTTTTGTACGTTTGAACGTTTCCTTTCAATCTAGAGTCCTTCCCCTTCAATCTAAATTCCTTTCAATCTAGATTCCTTTCAATCTAGTTCTACATTCTAGACAATCGCACGTTTCTATTTACAATCTCAATGAACAGTAGCAATTTTTGGATAACATCTGTGATATCGGAAATAAACGAAGCGACCGTCGCATTAAACAGTGTCTACAATGAGATTTTAAAGCATAAAACTTAAACTTTAAGCCTTAAGTCTAAATAAGAAATCGATTAATCATAGTCTGATGTAAGGAGAATAATCGACTAGTCAATTTTTTAGGACCTAAGGCTTAAAAACTTAAGTTTTACATCTTAAAATTCTATTATAGATGCCGTTAAAAACATTATTATTTAAAGTAGTACTGTCCAAAATTTGTAATTATGAGCATCGGCTTGACATACATCGATATTCATACAAAGCGTCTCGTCGAGAATGGCTCGATCGGAACAGATGTATTTTTTATATATCGATCTGAGTGTTGCATCATCTTCAATTCTTGAAAATTTTTGTTGAGTTTAACTCGTGCATTTGTGAGTTATAACTGACTATACTAATCTCGGAAAACTACACAAATGAAGGTAAAAAAGCAAATAAAGATAATGAAGATAAAAATGAAGATAAAGGAGAAAAATCGATATTCATATTGCCTCCCTTTTTTTAAATAAAAGTAGAAAAAAGAAAGCAACAGGCGCGATATACATCGCGAGTCAAAATGCTAATAATTTTACAAATCTTAAGATTAATCTCCAATGTGTCCTTCACCTTCTGTTTCTTGCTTTTTATTAAATCTCTTGTCTTTTCCCTCTTTGCGAAAGTTTTAAATTTACTATACGTATAAATTTACTCGCGTAATTCTTGCAAATGCATACCATGCATTCGTCATTCGACAATAATATCATGATAATTCGTGACAACTTCACGACAGTTAGAATTTTAATCGTCACGAAATTGTATCGAATCGATGCAAATTTATTGTAAATTTATAGAAGTAAAATCTTTATATCGAAAATGCTTGCAAAGTCAAGAAAACAACTTTCAGAAATGCAGGGAACTCAAATTATTGCAGCGGAATAACATTACGAGTTTTTAGAGAAAGAATCTGAAAATACCCACGATTACATCATCATGACTCAGTAAAAAAAAAATTGTACCGTAATAATTAAAAAAACATTTTAAAGGGGAAATATTATATTTTATAATAATATTGAGAAGAAAGAATTGCAGACAAAATAATTATTTCTTCCAAATTAATTAACTTTTGTCTCGGGCGATCAAGAAATAGATTAAGAGACAAAAATGTGAAAGATAAAAAGTGATAAAAGGCAAAAAAAATAGAAAGAAAAGAACACATTGTAGAACAGCCCTTAGACAGTTCTGGTTTAAAAACAAAAAATCGAGTCCAAAACATAAGTACGTTTTGCAAAATCAGCCGAATGCCGGACGCCTCAAGACTCTTGGCGTCCAAGGAGCGGCTCCGGGGCTTCGCTCCGAATGCGTCATCCTTCTTTCCACTCTTTATCCACCGAAAATACGAAGACATGATGATTCTCCGTTTATCCGTCACCTCTAGATTCCTTACTGATCCGCATAACCGGTCGCGTCGCAGCCACGTCGTCACCTACGTCACTTATGTCGTCGACGTGAACGGCAGTAGTTTGTTGAGTAATTTGATGATTACAGACACGCGCTTTTTTACATAAGACTAGTCACGTACGTAAGCACGCCGGAAAGGTGAGTCAAAGACACGATCACAGACCAGATCAACGAAAGCTCTTCGCCCTTTCTGCTCTTGAAACCTCATCACGCGCTCGAACACATGAGATAATTAGTTCCACGGTCACAACGCAACATAAACGTGTCGTCTCGCGTTGTCTGCGTGATAAAAAAGATGATTACTAATACAATGTGACCCATATGTCGCAGGTGCAGCGCATACATTGTGTCGGCTATCACCTTGTTTTACAAACAATCGCGAATGATATCGCTCTTCTTTTCCTCCCTGCCTCTCCTTCTATAGTAAATTTAAGTTTTTTGTTGTCATTCTTTTAAGTTTTTGTTATTATTCTTTTCTATTCTTTTCCTATTTTGTTTTTATTTTTTTTTGCATTGTTAGTTTTTTTTTATCTTTTCTTAAATATGAATCTTAACATTCTATATATTTTTATTAATTATGTATTATTTTCAGCGCTTAAGAAGCTGTAATTCTAAAACGCTTAATAAATAATGATTTATCTACCTCTCTCCTTTTATATCATTATTTTCTTTTTAATCTAATAATAATAATTTAATGCTCATTTTCAACAACATCGATTAAAGAAGTATCAAAGATTATACGATATTAAGATATCTATGTACAATAATTAATTTAATGTCCAATGGTATTTAAAACTGATGTAATACATTTCGCATAAAATCTCCTTCAATTTATAATAGTCGAAAGAATGATACAATATTTAAATATACATAACTCTATAGCAGTGATGTGCAACCCGTCAATTAACATTCTGAAGCCCGCCGGCTCATAGCTAAAAATAAAAAATTATACTTTCCATTTTATGTAAATTATGAAAATAATATTATCAGAGTTGGGGGTAGTGCTAAATTAAAAAGTTAAAAGTTAAGTTAAAAAGTTAAAAAGTTAATTAATCTTAACTTAACTTAGTTACATTTTAGACTCCTAACTTTTTAACTTTATTTAGTTACATTTTATCAGTAACTAATAACTTTTTATTATTGTTTTTTTAAAGTTAAGTGTCAGACACAATACAAGCCATACGTAACGAAAGATACGAATTCCGGCCGGCTTGCAGCACACGATCAGCGCCTTCGCGAATTTTTGCACAAAACCTCAAACTCTTATTATAGAATCTGTACCTGCAAGTAGAGACTCTTTATTGTCCGCAAGGAGACACGAGTTTACATCACTGGTTCTAACTGCAGGACTTGCAGCTTGAAGTAGCTTATAGTCACTTGTAGTTTGCTGCTGCATTTATGGTATTCGGTTATAATAATAAGAGTTTGAGGTTTTGTGCAAAAACGCAATGAGTGTTGATATTGATAATAGAATATATATATATATATATTTATATATAAAACAGAGTATATACATATGTATATATATATGTATATAAACGTAGCTTATATTTCATAAATAAATAATATGTAAGATATTTTATTTTTATAAATTATCATGATTTAAAAAATTTTTTTAGCATTAGATAATGCGCGACCTTTCTTAAACTAAGAGTGAAAATCTACATCTGAACATGGCTCTCAGTTTAAGAAAAGTATCATTACTTTACAAGATAATACAGTATTTAAAATTTAAATATACATATAAAAGAATAAACTTAGAATAAGAAATAAAAAATAAATATTTTTTTTAATCTTAAATGAGTGAGTTGCAAGAAAGAGTAAAACATAAAGATATAGTACTCAAGCTAGAGATAAAGAAACATGAGACACCAAAAGTCTAGGTCGAGATAATTAATCAAACACAACAGACACGATAATACGTTCAAATCGATGAAAGTAGTAGGTATATGTATACCGTATTCATAGAATTAATATTACAATAAAAAAAATTTTGATATATAATCCGTGCATAAAACAGCATAACAATTTATCGTTTCGAAGCAAGAAAAAATTGAGTCCTAATGGCTTAAAATAAAAAAGTCTTGATTAGTGGTACTAATTTTGTTTCGAAAAATGTTAAAAATTTTCGTCACAAATGTTATAAAACTTTGTTCTAAGTTTATACTCTATTTATATATACATATATTGTATCATTCTTTTGACTATTGCAAGCTGAAGAAGACTTTGTGCAGTTGTGAAATTACATCACATTAGTTTCGAACATCATTGGACATTAGATTAGTTATCGTAATATCGTGTAATCGTTTCTTGGCCTTATTAACACTTCTTTTTTGCTGGGCATTCACGAACTTGACATTTGCTAATATAGATTTACTTATCAGTTCAACTTATATTTCACCTTTTTCTACACAAAAATACATGGTGTATTTAAATATTACTTATTTCAAACATTTCAAAAATTCATGTATTTATTATATTATTGCCGAAAATTTATTATAAGTTCAAGCATCAAATTTATTCAAAATTTATATTCTCAATTAGTAAGTTTAATGCTTCAATCAAGATTATTAAATTTAAACAAGTTTTATTTACTTATTATATAAAATCGCTCCTTTGGTAAAATTTAATGTTTAAAAAAATTAATAAATTCTTATTTTGAGTACATTAAAAGTTTTCCTAAAATTTTTAATTAAACAGATTTTAAGACTATTATTAAGAGAATTTTTTTTTTGTTATATATATATATATATATATCTGTTACTCAAAAGAAAAAAGTAAACTGAGTAATCATTTTTCTTAATATAAAACTAACATTAATATTTTTCTGTGTTTAGTTCTAAGAATTAGAAAAAGATTAAGCTGAATCAATATTAAAATTATGTACATTAATAGAAATGAACATAAGCGACAATTAATAGTGATTCTATAATATATAATAGACATTTGTTCAATTTAACTGGAACTCTAAAATTTAAACAATACGCTTCGATCATAATTAATTCCTCTATTATACCGCGTTCAATGGTATAAAAATAAATGACAACGTACTTGACGTCGTCTGCAGACTTTACATATGTTTTTCAAGAAAAGTTTCTTCTTCTTTTCCGCGCGTCAACGATAGAATTCCAACACGTGGTGTTTATGCGAGATAAACACTAGTAACGCGAATACTCTGTTATCGCGATTTGAGAAGCATGCCATAAACAGAGCTCGAGACTTTTCCATTGCAAATTTTATATTGTTGGTAACCCGACGTGACATTAAGCCGCGTTCCGATTCTTAACAAGAGGATCGCAGCCTCATCTAGTTCGTGCCGACAAAACTGCGAGGATTGTAAATTCCCGTGTGTGCATTCCTCGAAATTTCTCTCTTCTCCAACGCTACCCTCAGAATTTTGCTTCAGCGATTCCGCGAAGGCGCGATATCTGTATCTTGTAACATGATCGCAGAAGAATGCTTCTACGAATCACGCTAGATACAATTTGGGCATGTGTTGTCGAGAGTCCTTGGGTCGGCTTTGATCCGCAGAAAAGCTTTCTTCACACGAGATCAACAACAATTCTCGGTTTCTTCACTTCGACATAAAAACCTTTAGTAAACATCATTAATACTATTACAATATTATAATTTCCTACTCAGTAATTAATTATTATAATATCTTACATTACATTTATATTGTTAAGTAGGAAATTAGTGGGCCGGAAATTCAAAAGGAGTCTTGAAGAAGTGAGAAATTATAATATTAATTATAATGTTATTGTTAGTGTTTACTCAATTAATTTGTTTCTCTTTCTCCATCTTATATGATTATTTCTCAATTAACGTCGATCACCCTTATAAATTTCTTCGATCCAAGAGTCAACCGATACACACGCACTGTCGCGAATGCGATTCTTTTTCTTTTCTTTTTAATGTTTAATTAATGTCGTAAGTAAGCGGCGAGTCACTGGGTGAGAAATGTGTCTTTCTTTTCTGTCTCTTTATCCGTTTGATACACGTATACGTACGAAAAGCGCTACCTCCCACTAGCAGCGACCGTGTTCGACTGCACTCGTTGTGCTCTTTCGCAAGCACCGAAGCAACACACACCTGTTCCCGAGGAACTGTCGCGAACTTGCCTGATCGCCGATCACGCCGAGTCATCTTTGTAACGCGCGGAGAAGAGACGCCTTTCTCGCTTATGGTAATTACTCAAGCAGATGTTACCGAGCTCCATACGACAGCTTTTATGTCACGTTAATCATCTTAACCAAACAAATGTATCTCTATTACCCGAGATATATCTACGTAGACTTTAACGGCCAAACTGTGCCAGCATCCTGAAGCAGAAATAATAAGATGAGGAAGAAATAAAAATATTAATTGCTCCACTGAAGAAAAAAGTTATTATATATAGCGAATATAAATGTAGAGCAATAAAATTTTAGTTAATCTTTTTGTTTTTATGTTTTGATTATTTGGAACTATTAAAGACCATCAGTAGTAAAATTTATAGTGTCTGTCAAAAATTTTTAATTTACATATCGCTTATTTGTCACAATAACGACACAACTCAAAAAAAGATTTCCAGAAGACGAATTTTAATGTTCGAAACATTAAAATTTTATAATATTAACTTCAAACTGCAATTTGTATGTAATAACTAAGTATAAAGGAATATAAATATGTATTCTTTACATAAATATGTATGTTCTTTTAAAGTACATCCTCTTTTTTTAGTTTCTCTGTTTCTTTTTAAAACAATTATAAGAAATAATTTTTGTCAATTTGTTTTTTTAATAAAAATCTTGTTATGATCAATTTAAACATGATATTGTAAACATAGACTATATTAAATATTTATATACTATATCATAGATTTATATTTGTAAAGATTCTTTATCTAAGCAATATAAAATTACTTCTTAGCAAACCGGAAACTTTTGGCAGCTACTGTATTTCCGAAGTATATAAATTACATTGATTACCTTCAATGACTTCAAGTAGTAAACACAGTTCAAGTATAAACAGATTAGATAAAACTGATCTATTCTGTTTCCAATTTTAATATAATTTTACTTTTAAAATATTTTCTAGTGCATTTTTTATTTAAAATTCTCTCAATTTGATTCCTGAAACACAATTTGGCCATAAAAATCTCTTTGTAGTAATAACATTTGTTTATAAATACATCAAAGTGTGTTAAATATATATAAAATTAAATGTATAAATATATAAAGTGTGTAATAATATTTTTATAATATTTTTTATAGCTTTACGCGATCATCAATAATAAATAATGTTTTCGATGCACCAGTGAGGAATCTTTAATGTATTGCTCGTAAACATCATGTGTTCATAACTATTACGTTTCTCCCCAGTTATGTATCTAATTGCAATCGCAATTATGCATACGTTGCGTCATTTAACGATATGATGTATTATTCAGCGCGTAAGCTTGACAGGTAATAATTTTCTCCGACAATGCCCCGAGTTAAGAATCGAACGATGAGAAGGTAGAGAACGCGCTTGCCTACTCTCAATATGAACACGCGATAAAAAAGACGTCTACCTTTACTAAAGCGGATACTAAATGTGCGTTGTTGATTATGCTCGAACGATACATACTTTCTGCATTATAGTTCTCACATCATGATTTAAAAATGTTTCACAGTCCAATATCTGCATTCGACACATGAAAAACTAAATACAAATTCAAAGATTGAACAGCCTGCATCCATATATATTGTTACGCTAAATGCTAGTAGACATACAGTTTTAATATTTTTAATCAAGAGTCGTAATACATGAATCTAAATGCGGTATAATCAGATCTCTCATGGTATCCAAATGAAAAGCCGCGGTCACATAATTCGAGATATTAGTTGGATTGATAAATATTGAGAGTATAAATGCGACCATTGCTGTTTGGCATGTCGGTTATGAATAGTAAAAGACTACTTACCGCTTTTCTCTTGTCTTCCGCGCTCAAGGCACTGTGGCTCCTGTGCCTAATGAGATCCATGACTTTGCTTACAGGATTCCTGCTGCTCTCCGATCCAGCTCTAGGCCGACCGCTTCCTTGATCTCTATTTTCCTTTTGTTCCTTCTGGCTTTCTCTGTGATGCTCCTTTTCTGTATTTACATCCACCGATGAGCTTCCATGCGATCCTCTATGCAAGGAATGCTAGACAGTCATATAATAAAGAAATTAGTAATGTTATAATATTTAATATATTTAATAGTAATGTATATAAATTTTTTAAATATAATATTTCCAACAAGCTTCTACATGAAAACAATAGTTTTAATAAAGTATCTAAAAACTTAGCTGAATCTGAAAATAATTTTGTCGAATCCTCAAAATTATTGTAATGTAGGAGATGGTTATTGGAATGTCAAAATTTTTTGCAACGTTGCTCATCGTGTTTGAGCGTTTTATATAATTATTTTATAGTCCAATATACAAATTATTTGCAAATTTATATTCAGCTAAATTTTTAGAGATATAGCGAAACCGTTCTTTTGATGTACTTATATAACAGTTGAAACTAATTTTAATATAAATTTTTTAAAACTAAAAATTTTTATTTAATTTAACATATCGTAATCACGGTTGCCAGTTCTGTAATTTTCAATCGAAAATTCTGACTTTTTAAACGAATTTCTAATTCTTTTAATTAACTGCTATAAATTTTTATAATTTTTTTTTATAAAATATGTAATATGCAAATGGCTTTCTTCATTATCATATATACGTGAAAAAAATAAAAATGAAAGAAAGATAGATAAATGTATATGTGTGTAATGGTAGGAATAGATAAATGGAAATGTGCATTAGAGAAAATATTGTATATAAGACTATAATAGTTTGAATACCAAAGATGCGTGAAAGAAATAAATACAAAAAACTTAAGTATAAATTGATAGTAAATTGTATAGTGATATAAGTTGTAGACAAAAAAGAATGGATAGATGTATGAAATAATAATTTTGTAGGTCAACTCCTCTGTATTATGTATATGTTGAAATAAAAAATTCTATTCAATGTTTTATACACGCATTAATTTTCTTTCGGTTTTGTAAAGAAATTTTCGAAAAGGGGGAGGGGAGCTAAATCTGATAACTTTTCTATAGAGAGACTGCTTATAAAGCGACTGCCCGTAATTTCGTCAGTGGTAATAGATCTCCGGTAAAAAAAAGTCATTGATCTACAGCGGAACACTCGAAAGATGACAACCGTAATCACAACCATACATCATTTTTTACTGCAATTTTGTAATGAGTATATTATTCTCTTGCTTGTACCTGAACGGCACTTTTCATATTAGCTATAATACTGGGTTTCCTCTTGCTGGCGTCTGACTTGCTTCTCGGCCTAAAAGCATCGAAGAGCGCCGGCTTTCTCGTAGGGCTAGCAGTGTCATCCGTACCACCGCCACTTCTTCGACGTTCCGCGCTATTACTGCGACTATTACTGCGACTGGTAGAACCGGACCGAGTACCGGAAGTTTTTCGGCCGCCCTTGCCAGAACTCGACGAACTCGACGGTTCTGCCGGCTGTGGAAGCGGTGTAGATTTTCCAGAATTAGGTGCGCTCCCGTAAGATGACTTTCTGATAGTTTTTGAGTGCGACCCCCATGTATCTGCAAATCGAATTATTTCCATAAGTATACATATACTTAGTTTATCATAATTTACTATTATTATTACTATTATTAGTTTACTTACAAATTATTCAACACGGTCATTACACGATCAATAATACTGACAGTATCAACAAATATATTCATATTATTGACGTGATTCGAATTTCTAGATTCTCCAGCATCAGTGTTGCTGTGGTAGGAGATACTTGAGAATGAATAAATCCGACTCATTGTCAATTATATTCTACATTAATTTATCAATATAACCATATGTGTATAATATTATCAATATTTATTCGTACTGATAATATTATTGAACGTGTAAAGTCTTTGCAACAATTACTGGTCTCCACTCGCGTAGACTTTGCATATTAAAACAAAAAACATAAATTTTCTGTTACACAGATAAATAAATGATAATTACGCGATAAAATCTCTTCGCAAAAAGTGAATATATCGTTCGCGTGCCCCGGAAGAGAGGAAAATATAATGACCGGCATACACGATCGTCAATTACTAACTCACCTGCTCGTGGCCTGTGACCTTGAGAAACATGTCCAGAATTATCCGTATCCTCGGTTACGATCGTTGGTAGTGGTTGCGAACCAAGCTCCTGAAAAGAAGAAAGTGGTTTTGAAGACGATCGATCGAGTTGTCCGCACGAAATCCCGAAAACATTCAGGGACTTTCGGTACAATTCTAACAACTTCTCGTGAGAATTATTATAGCTGCAAACCCGAAGACAACGTGAGAAGCGGTGATTAGATATCGCTATTTAATCGCACGATAGGCGATATAGCGCGATTATATTTACGCGAACATTCTTGCATTTATAAGCTCTTCTCGACCACAGTGAATGCAATGCGAGATGCGTCCGCGCGCGCGGCGAGAAATTTTGCATTGATTTATTCGAACATTAAAAGAAAAAGAGGAGATAAATAAGATAGGCGTATCCAATTGCATAATAATAATATCTTTGGAACTCGTCCAAGAAGAGATTCACTCTGGGAAATGTCCAACGAACAGCACCGTACGATCATTTCGCCTTATGTTCGCATCTCCTAGAATGTTTTAACAAGTCGGATCTATTTTTATTCTGTTACTTGGTCAACTACATATCGCGCTGTACAACAGATTATGAATCATACTCTGTCAGCTGAAATACGTCAGTTAATGTCGTAATTGTCCCTAGCGTTTATCAAGAAAAAAAAATACAATTAATACTTCACTTGAACAACAAGAATTTCTACTTTCCGTAGTTTACAAAACTATCTCGCTAAATCTCTCCGTATCTTTGCGTATCGCTCATTTGCTACAACTGAATTTTTGCACTGAAAGAAATATTAAATTTTAATAAATATTCGTTTGAATATTTTTAAATAAATATTTACTAAATATAAACATATATTTGTTTATTACAAGAATCAATAATTTGATTTAATTATCATCTTTTATCGAATAAATATTTATTTACTACAAGTAAATGTTCGCTTAGTATTATTCAAAGAAATATGTATTAAGATTTAGTAATTTTGTCAAAATGTTGCATACCAAAAAAGAACGGAAATATAAAATAATAATATATGTTTTTAGGAATATACTTGTATCTTCTACATCGTTTTATTACCAAAATTATATTTCAAAACAAATATTGCAAAATTTTAATAATTCAAAACATTGAAGTTTATTTTCTAGAAAACCTATAGGGAATTTAATCGGATTTATATTATTAGTATTTATATTAAAGCCGACAAATTACAATGTAAAAATATATTTAATGTAAATATACAGAACAGTTTAAACCGTGAATCTTGAATGCATTTTACTGCATGTGCCGTTAAGTAAAATATACATTTTATAAATCACAATATTTGCATGTCACTTTTATAATCCAATTAAATCAGTTTACAACGGCTTTAATATGCACTAGTACACACTTGTGCGTCCAACCGAATTCACTATTTGTTTTTTTTTTTTTTAGTTGTGCCGTTGCTACAGCAAATATCGTCGATATTTTTATCTGTGAATCTTTTTGACGGGAAAAGAGAACACTCGAAACAAAATCTCCGAGGGACTCTTTAAGAAGAGTTTGGAAAATTGTCGTTTCATGTTTCTATGCGCAACAACAAAAATTGTAAAAAAGAAAAATACGTCCGTTAACGACAGAGACAATTCGCCGACGAGCACTAAAAGAAAAAGAAAAGTCTGGTAATGGCTGTAAAATGTACGAGTATTTATTATCAAACATACATAATAATAGTAACCAACCATTATTATTGGTAAGTAGTAATAATTAAAAAAAATTATTTTTAAAAAGTAAAGATAAAAATTGGAATTTGGTCCGTTTTAGTTACCCTATATGACCCAAACATTTGATTGATATTATATTTCGTCAAAGCTTCAGTGAAATTACCATCTTGGTTGATTATTGTATTATTATCAGACCTTTTTCAGCGAGGAAGTAACGACGGATCGCGAAGTATAATTGCGAAATAACAAATTACTTAGCGCATAAAAGGGATATTGATAAGCGCCCCGCGTGGATGTTCGTTATGCGCATTCACGTGAATTCCCGCTGAGCACAATGGGAGACGGGATCGAAGAAGGGCGCGACAGGATGGCGACCTTCGAGCGGTTCTCATCTCCAACCTCATCTTCATTCGTTCTCTCTTTCTCTCCCCCCCCCCCGGCTCTCTCCTCTCCTTTAAAAAACCACGTCTCTTGCCAGAGCTAACGTGGATAAATATATATCAGCCGCGCGAGAGCGAAATATATTAATTTTGCAAGAGCAAAAGGAACATCTCGCAAAATACCTTATAAGTCCCATGGTACTCCGGGCAACGGTCCAGATACGGCATCAGGGAATACTTCCGCACTTTCCCGACTAGGGGCACCGACATCCTCTCACGATCATCGAGATGAAAACGACGCGCTTCCCAGGTGTTCATTTCGTGGATATCACACATCTATCCATCGAGATTCCGACACCAAATGACAAGTATCCCGGATAGTGAGGTGTTCAAATTATCTTGCGACCACTATCTTTTCGCAACTCGTTATCGCGATAACGATTCTCCTTCGAGCAACGGTCATCGTTCGCTTCGCGGTAAGCGCTGTCTGTTTATTGCGTCGCATACAGAAAGAATGATTTTGCTGAAGTACATAAAAATTTAGCCAGACACAAATTTAAAAATAACTTTGTTGCATCATCAAAATAATTATATAGAATGCTTAAGTGTTGATGGTAATGCTGCAAAAAAATTTTTTAACGTCCTATATAGTAACCAATTTGAACGTTCTATACATAATTATTTTGATGGTTTCAGATCTGTATCTATACTGGAAGAGCGACTGAAATATCTAAAAATTTAGATAAACATAAATACAGATCTAAAAACAATTTTGTAAAACCATCAAAATAATTAAGCGCTATAAAATATTTAAGCGTTGATGATAACATTGCGAAAACTTTTGATATTCCATAGAACAACTCTAGTTTAAGCGTTCTACATATATAGTTATTTTAATGATTCAAATAATATTATATATATATTTTTTTTTTTTCAGATTTATATCTAACTAAATTTTTAGATAGAGGGAGACGATTCGTTGGCACGATTTTTACAACTTCGGTGTTAAAATTTTCATCAACCATTATTATAAACAATTAATTAAAATGTATCTATTAATATGATAGAGAGAATCTTCTGCTATATCTTCGTGCTAGAAAGAATTTACACTGTATAGTTCTTTTGTAGTAAATGAAATGCGCGCGAGCGTGCTGCATTGTAGTCAATTTGTCCCGATAGATGGAGTAAATTGATACATATCATGTAAATCGCCTTTACAAAACACCAATAAGCTCTACTAAATTAATGAAAACATAATAGAAATAAAAAACAGATAGTATATATTACTTCTTAAAAAGGAACTCATGGAAGTGTTTCTCTGATTTTCATGAGCTTCGAAAATGTTCTTTTTTTAACCACACAAGCAATGTAGAGTTAAAGACAAATAATAATTAAAGCTTGTCACTATAGTCTCGCAAAAAACCTATACTATAATATAGATTTATTTTAAATCTGCGATTTTGGAAGATCCGTGAAAGGTCGTGTTTATCAAAATCTCAGTGTTGACTGACGGCACGTGAATATATGAGAATTCAGATACGCGTTCGTTTCTTTTAATTGACAGTGAAATATACCGGTAATGATATTCTCTAGACAATTGTCATAATGATATTATCGTTGACGTCATCAAGAATAATTCACATCGTCCGCGTGGCGATCCATTTTTAGCGAATTTTATTGTGAATTTTACTGCTAGCTTGTTTTCTTACGCGTGAAAAGCTTATCCTACCGCCTACAGTCGCGTCGTTAAAGGCGGAACATCAATTATCAGTAGCGACAATATTGGCATAACGCACGTGTGCGCGTCTCCGAAATTAAATATCGCTTTGCCTTCATATCTCTTTCTCTCTCTCTCTCTTTTATAGTTTAATTCTGTAATTCCTAATTTCATTTATCATTCTTTTTCAAAATTACTGCACAAAAAGAATAATTTTGCTAAAATATTAAAAAATTCAGCTAGCTTCACGTCCAAAAATAATTTTACTGCCTATCTGTAATAAATAATTATGTAAAATAATGAAACTGGTTGCTAGAATGTTAAAACTTTTTGCAGCATTATCATCAACTGCACGCAAAGAACTGTTTTGCTGAAATATTTAAAAATTTAGCTCAAATCTAAAACAATTTTGTTGAATTATCTATAATGAACGTAAGACATTCAAGCATAATAGAAAATATTTTACATTCTATACGTTTTAACATTCTATCAATCAGTCAAAAAATCATTTAAATAAAATTATTTTCAGATCTGCATCTACCTAAATTTTTAAAACATTTCAAATTATTTTTCCATGGTAAGATTGTGGAATATTTCTTTCTTTTTCTTTCTTTTTCTTTTCTTTCTTTTTCTTTCCTTTTCTCTCTCAAAATAATATTAAATCAAACAAACCGACTGTAGATGTCGAAGATCAATATTAATTTTAATAAATCATAAAATTCCTTCTTACAAAATTGAAAGAATCGCTAAGTGCGCAATATGCACAGCGGTCTGAAATGACGAAAGCGACAGAAATGTACAGCGATCTTGGAAAAAACGTAAAAAATAGTGACCGAGCTTTGACGTAAGACATTCGAGTTTGCTTCGTTGTTTCAATTAATGTTGTTCCGATATTCCTTACAACGAGACAAGGATACGCACGATGGATACATCAAAATATCTATCCATCATAAAACCTCGCTACGGGGGACATCGCGGTAATTTCTCTTTCGAGTGAATCGATAGAGCTTAAAGGAAGCCTTGTACCACTTCGTTTCACCCCTTCCGCAAGACGTTAGAGCCGCATCGGGAGATCTGGGGCAAATGATACAACATTTAGAAACACATAATCTAGTCTCCCTTTCATTATTTTTTGAACATCGACAGAAAAAAACGATTTTGCTACGTCTTGTTTTGTGAAACAGTATTTTAAAAAATTAGATACAGCTGATGTTAATTTTTGTTCAATTTATGTTAGCTGATAATAATGAATATTATTATGCAAATTTATTCTAAATTTTTACATTTTCATAAAAAAGGTTTGTTGTATGTAGAATATGTTACATTTGTTGTATACACATATTTGTAATTATTATTAGATTAATATATTATGAAATGTTTCAAGTTTTCTAAATTGTATACCACCACGTGGTAAAACTGATAATTGACAATAATAAAGCTAATCACTGATATGAGTACAATTTTCAATTGTAAAATAAACTCAAATCAGTTTTATTTCGACGTCCTTGCCTTTTAAAATTAATCTCTCAAAAAAATTGACGACTGTGCGAGGATCGTTTGTGTCTATTGCAAAAATTCTCGGAAATTCGCAATCATTATTTCCTGTATTGACTCGGTTCTCATCAATTGTTTCATTGGAAAGAAACTCCATCAGCCAACTCGCCAAAATAATCCCGCTCTCAGAAGAAAGAGAAAAAGAAGAGGAAGTAGAAGAAGAAAAGCAAAAGTCCCCTCGAATTCCCTCTATCGATTCTATTTTCTTTTTTTAAGACATGCGATTGAGTATTACTTAGGCCTGCTAATAACAGAAGCCGCACGCTAATAGCAAATATCTTCACAATGACGATTTTACGCTATTCATCGTGCAAAAGAAACGTAACAAGAGCGAGCTTATAAAAATGCAAAAACCTTATTCAGTAGATACAATGACGCATTGGAAAAAAAACCGAATGAAAAAAAAGAGGAAAAAAGTAATTCAACAAACGAACGTACATCAGTAACGCGACCAAACAAAATATTCAGGACTACACGAAATTGCGTTATCAATTATTTATACAATAATGACAACGCGTACCATCGAGCGTTTTAATAAATCGTATTTTTAATAAAACATTGCCGAGAAAAACACACGCAAACATGACAACGATGTCGAAGAATCTAATTTCGTTGCGTTGACGTACAATCGACGAATAATCGTGGCGCAATCGATGAGAAAATAACGAGCGATTTACGAATGGGAGGAACGATGGGATTACTCGTACGATCAGCTTTCGTAAGAATCGACCGGCTGGGATCGCTGTAAACAAATTTACGGGACTGCCTCCACTCGCAGCAATTGGTTAATTGGTGCAATTATAGGACGGAGCAAATGGAACGCCGACGCCGACGAGGCGCGATTGTCTACATGTCGTTAGTTCGATCCTTAAAGGGACAACGCATGAAATAATACGTTTTCGTTTAACCGAAGGCTATTCTCCTCGAAGGAAAAATCCACACGAAGAAATATATTGTCGTTCGTTGGCACATTTCATCAATTAAATATATATGGTGTATGCTCTCTCTCTCTCTCTCTCTCTCTCTCTCTCTCTCTCTCTCTCT